CAGAATGCCATTGGCCTTCTTGGCAGCCAGGGCACACTGCTGGCTCATGGTCAACCTGTCGTCCACCAGCACACCCAGGTCCCTCTCCACAGAGCTGCTCTCCAGCAGGTCCGCCCCAAGCCTGTACTGGTGCATGGGGTTGTTCCTCCCCAGGTGCAGGACCCTGCACTTGCCCTTGTTGAACCTCATCAGGTTCCTCTCTGCCCAACTCTCCAGCCTGTCCAGGTCTCACTGGATGGCAGCACAGCCTTCTGGTGTATCCACCACTCCTCCCAGTTTGGTGTCATCAGCAAACTTGCTGAGGGTACATTCTAACTGTTCATCCAGGTCGTTGAGGAAGTTGAACAAGACTGGGCTGAGTACTGAGTCCTGGGGGACAACACCAGTTACAGGCCTCCAACTAGACTCAGCGCTGCTGATGACAAGCCTCTGAGTTCTGCCATTCAGCCAGTTCTCCATCCACCTCACTGACCACTCATCCAGCCCACACTTCCTGAGCTTCCCTAGGAGGATGTTATGGGACACTGTGTCGAAAGCCTTGCTGAAGTCTAGGTAGACAACATCCACTGCTGTCCCGTCATGTGCCCAGCCAGTCATGCCATCGTAGAAAGCTATCAGATTGGTCAGGCATGATTTCCCCTTGGTGAATCCATGCTGACTACTGATAATCTTCTTTTCCTCCACTTGCTTGATGATGACCTCTAGAATGAGCTGCTCCATCATCTTTCCCAGGATGGAGGTGAGGCTGACCAGCCTGTAGTTCCCTGGGTCCTCCTTCTTGCCCTTTTTGAAGATTGGAGTGACACTGGCTTTTCTCCAGTCCTCGGGCACCTTTCCTGTCCTCCAGGACCTGTCAAAGATGATGGAGAGTGGCTCAGCAAGTTACTGTTGCCAAGTTACTATTTTGTGCTTCTTTGGCACGTGAATAGACACGTGTCATCAGAATTGTGCAAGTGAAGCAGGCTGGCCTTCAGATAACAATTTTCTGTGCACTACTTAAGGAATAATAGTTGTAGATTCATTCCAGGTCTTAAAGAGTGGCAGTAGCAGTAGATTACCTTGTATCAGAGAGAGCTAAATGATGTCATGAAAAGGGGTGACAGATGGGCAGGTCCCTGCATAATACGCTCAAAGTTTCACTCAAACATTCTGCTACCATGCAGCATAGCTATTGCTAGTCTCACATGCAGACTGTATATAAAAAAGCTGAAACAAGAGGACAATGAAACAGAACAGAATGAAAGGCTGTCCCTGCCCTTCTAGTTTATTAAGTGTTTATATCTGCCTAATGCAAATATCTGAGGATATGATACTATTTCACTGAACAAACAACGGACTGTATTTCCCAAAAATATTGGGAGTGATTTGATGAAAATGATGACGCTATACCAATTTCTGCTTGCAAACAAAATGATTAAAACCTAATGATCCAATCTGACTGTGTGACCTCAGAATGTTCTACCAGAACATCAACAGCAAAGAAAAAGGCCAGCTTTGAAAAAGGCAATAGGCTTTACAGGTAAATCTGCTGTAGATCATGTACAGTGTCATTACGCTGTTGTACTCAAGTCCTGGTAGTATACTGAGTAAATACAAGGCGATAAGGACTCCAACCTTATAAGCAAACACTTAACATTAAATATGGCACTACACCAAATTTTGGGGAAAAGTTAATTGATTCTTTCGATAACACGGCAAATTTGGAAAAAAAGTAGTTAATGCAGTGTCAGCGAAAAACGGTAAAGAGATTGGCCCAGGTGGGATATCAAGAGGATAGAAAGTTTAGGCTCAGCATTTCTGCTGAACACAGACTGCTGAACTCGTGCTCAGTACCTCATTCACGAGACAATTACTAAACTCGACAAGGGCAAAACTGAGAAGGCTTTAGAGAAACTTGTCTAAGAAATCTGTAATAATGCTTACATAAAGAAATGCATGACTGGTCTATTTAGACGTCTGTATTTCAAGAACAGAACGATCAGTTCTCATCTTACAGTTCTGCCATCTCTACTGGGAGCCTACAATATACATCTAATACCTCTTTCAAGACAGCAGTATTGAGGTTGCTGACGGCTGGAAGAACCCTTTCCTGCTCCTGTAGTTCACCTTTGTCTATATGTAAGATCAGACAAAGACTAAGTCAAAGTCAGCACTGCGAAAAAGCTGTATCTCCACAACCATAAAAGAAATTGAACTGATTATTTGTGAATACTCTTGCCTTGAAAGAATCCTAGCCAATTAATGGACTAAAGAGGAGAGACCTTGTATCTAATTACCATTTGGTAAGCTCATTACTTTCCAGAATTAAAGTACACTATCAGACTGCAGGTCTGAGAGATTTGTCTGGCAGACTAAATGCAAACCTAAGAGTTAAGCAACTACACCAACAGGTAGTTCTGAGTAAGCAAGAGTTAACTGTGAGAACCTGCAAGGGCTGAGTGGGGGATGTAGTGCAGAGGTACAAACAGCCAAATGCGTGCTGTAGAGTAAGAACCTGACAAAAGGATGTACCTGGTCTGTACAGGTTGACCACTGGGAGCTTTATGCACCAGTGTTGTGTTAAGATGAAGGTAATTTGGCACATGTCTAGCAGACAAACTGTATCTGCATGTTAGGGAAGTGGATATGTCAGGAGGAATGAGAGAAGCAGCAAAGTGGTCTTCTAGCAACATGAAAACACTCATAATGTGGAAGAACTGGCTCGCTGTACTTAGGCTGTCTCCACCAATGTGGATCCACTATACCTTGCCTGCATGTCATTTTCTCTGAATTCAAAAGTCTCCACTGCAAGGAGTCTGCTTTCTAATTTCCAGTCATTCAGCTGGCATCTCTCTATTGGTAATAACTGGCTGACTCACTGCACTTTGTAATAAAAATCTGGTGCAATGATTATAACTAAGTGACTTAAAAAGAAATTGGATCTGATGTATCTGTGCTAAGACCATGTAACAGTGTTCACCCTGTTAATTTTATGGACGAATACAAAGCCAAAGGCAAGAAAATTATTTCCCCTTAAACTGGGGGAAAAAAAAAAGAAAAAGACAAAATATCAATAATCTTTTACTGCTGCTCCCCAGCCACTACGGCATGTTACTGCTTTTCATCTTGTAGTGCTTTTTACTGCAGCACTTTCTGAAAGAACGAGAAATGAAGAATGACCTTCTGGGAGTAGCTATGTCTGGTGATTCCCTGGTAGCCATAGTGAACATGGCAGCAGTGATACACAGGTTTTTAGCACCACTTACTAACCCTATAGAGACAATAGCGTTCTCCTAATTACCTGATCTTTGAAAAAAATTTGGAGAGGCTTTCCCTGTCCTCCTTTTACCTGATTGCTATTTCTAAATCCTATTTAAAGGAAAAAAATGCCTCTCCCTGATACTACCTTTTTTCCTCTTCAGAAATTTGATTTCCAACAGGAACATAATTTTTGCCTCCATATACCCAACTAACAACCATTACTGTCCCAACTTCAAAGGCATATGTAATGAGAACATTATTTTGTTAGTTTTTCATATTAATACATTTACAAGAAAGTCTCACGAAAGTTAGTGCATTTATGATATTCTGTAATAAGATTGTTATTCACTTGCATTTATTTGTCATTTTAGAAGGACACTGAAGGTTGTTTTTTATCTTAATCTATATAAGAACAGTTACCATTACCAACAGTAATGCCATTTTTGTATTGTTTCACAATATATAAACTTTTATATTAATACTAATAACCCATCTTACCAATCAATCCCCCTGTGGTAGTTATTTCTATTAAAGAACTGTACCTCCTCAAAGGTTTTTGGGCTGGGGGAGTTACTAATGATGGAAGGATGCATGATCAGGAACAAATACAAGGCTGTGGTACCTGCAAATAGGATAAAAGTCCAAGATTAAAAAACACACACACATAGTTTTGGTGGGTCATACCTGCAGATGGACTAAACCAGCTCTATTCCATTTCATCTCAGTGAGGGAATGCTGATTTCTGTCACCTAAGAATCTGTGCTTTCTGTGCTTTTAAACTGAAGACACTTAAAGAACAGTAAATAGTTAACACAGAAACTAAAGTGCCAATGCTGAAATCTGTTTTTCTCACTTTTAATAACTGTGTTTAAAAAATTATTATTGATTTTTATGAGACTGTCACAAAAATTACTTACAAATCTTGCGGTCAGTAGCTATTGGGAATTGATGAAGATGGAAGGAAGCACATATGCAATTTTCTGATTACAGAGAAGGAAATTAATCATTTAGTTAATTTATAAACTGCTGCAACCTTGCAATTCAAACTGTCCATTAGGAACTTCTTGACTTGAAATAAATGTCATGAAGTAACAAGTTTCTATAAACAAGACACCTGCAGGACAGACAAGAACTTGCAGTTAAGAACCTACACCATTTGAAAAATGGTTGTCCTTTCCTCCTCCTGCTTTGACAAGATCTGTCTATCTTGTTGATCTCTTCATCAGTGTTACTCATTTTGACATAAAGCCAAAAAAATATGACACACACCTGAACACTGCACATTCAGAATGTGTACTGTCTGTTGTTGTAACTTACATTATTAAACTATATTTGTATGAAATCTGACAAGAAAATAATGCTATTAGATGATCAAGATCATTACAGAACAGTCTGGGTAAGAAGTGATTAATTAGTATGATTAGTTGAACTTACACACAGCCTATTGTGTTGAAATACAATAAAATCTCACCAGTTTTCTGGGGTCCTACAACCAAGAATTTTGGTAATCGATTACAGGTTTTTTCTTTAGACCAAATATCTCTGTGCCGTTTGTCATCACAGGGATTCTAAAACAGAGAACAACAACTAAGAATTCATCGGTAATCACACCTGATAAGGTTCTCGAATTATGTTTATATAAATTACCAATTTTTCACCAATGTACAAATATTCTTACCAGAAATTATTATTTTCCCTTGTGACAGAAAACCACGTTATGTATTAAAGAATTATTTCAGTGATTCAGAAAGGTATTTGCAATGTAAACAGGCCAGAAACTGTATCTCTTAAGTGTTTGGTTTTTTTCTGATGAGACAAGTATGTTAAAGAAATGTGTTTTTTATTCTCGCTCTTTCCTACATATATACAGTTGCCCCTGCTACCCAACAGACCCTGGGACAAGATCACTTCTACAAAATGTCAGTATGTTCAGCGGAATTATGCCAAAGACAAATTTGATCCCACATACTTAAGATGTGGGAATAATTCAAAAAACAATTGATCGATTACATACAAGTTAGGAAGACTTGAAATTGCTAATGAGTTCTCTAAATACCAACTTTTTCTTTTACGTTACTGTAACAGCTACCACTCTAGATATACTAAATATATAGTTTTTTAACTAAAATAGTAAATTCATTATAATTTAAGTCTTTGCATTCACAAATACATATTCTGATCCTCCAGTTCAAGTCAGTACATAATACTGAAACCTTTTTTTTTCATTTGCTGCTTTACAACTGAAACAGTTTGAATTTGTTTTAGAAATGCTACTTGCAAACAATTTTTGACACTGTTGTTTGGCAGTACTGCACTGAGATGAAGGGAGCTACCAATATTCTAGGCTTAAAAAAATGTAACTGTATTCAGATTCACTTGCATTATAGACGAACCCCACCACATTCAGTATATGTTGGTCACTGTTACTTCCAAATGTCTTTTCTAAGTAATTCTAATTTTTCAAGTCATTTGGCTACAGGCTAATTTCCATTTATAAATGCATTGTCCCTTAATCTTATGCAAAATTCTTGACATTTTTTCCCCTAGTTCAATGTTTTATTCAATAACAGCATGAATTTCAAGATGCATATTTAAGTCCAAATTTGCAATCTCATACTCAGATTCTAAGTTGGCAATTCAGTATTTAATGCTAGAAAACATTTGAGTAAGCAAACTTAAATACATTTTTATGTTTAATTTAGTAAAGCTTGCTCCTTTGAATATTTCTACAAAGTCACCTCAAAAGGATGATATCTGGGATACATATTATCACATTTACCTACAGCACTCAGACATTCCACTGAATTGGCTGGATTGTCACCAAGCGTGTGCAGAAAGATGACAGCATTGACATTTTCAATCTGCTCACTTACAAGAGCAGGATCATCAAGCAGCAGAGTTGACAACATCCATGTATTAAGTGACGATAAATGTTTGTTTGGGCAGTTCTCAGCCTTTTGTGAGTAACTTTCTAATCTATCTATTTCTACTTGGCTAGTCACTTTTAGCGTTAAGGTAGCCATGATCTTAATACTCTTGTCTCTTTTTGGATGCCCTCTTCTCCTCAGACACTTGGAAAGAAGTTTCTTTCTTTAATTGTCAATTGCTAAAATATGCATATACATCTCCATCAAATGCTTCATTCCTGTTAGTTCCGAAAGAAGAGAAATAACCCAATAAGCCTTTCTTGCATTTCCCACATTTCTAAAAGCAAATAAAGTCACAAATAAAATTAAAGACAATTTTAATTACACATCTTAATACATATTAATTTCATGACCGTTCTACGGAGATCTAAGTGACAGGGAAAACAATCAAGTACACTGAAGCTTCAGTAAGCTGTTTTATGAAACCAACTAGTAAATCTAAAAATATTACTGCTTATCTCTACAAGAAACTGAAATAACCTCACAAAAAACACCATCAAGATTATTTTTTTTCTGATATCTTCATCAGGAGGCCTGCCTACCTGCCAGAGAGGGTCCTTTTGCTCAGGGAATAGTTCAAAATACTTGTGAGCCAGCTGAACTGGAGGAAGAGTTTGAAGTTTCAGGTTTGTCCAGGTATGAACAAAGTTGGCCAGATTCACAAAGGTGTATAAGCCCAGGCGGTCGTTTCCATAATTAGACAAATGTGTCATAAAGATGCTGATCTTTAGAAAACAAAGCAAAGAAAGCAGAGGTTGACTCGTTGTATCACTAGATGGCAGTGTAACCACAGATAACGTAACCTTCCTTTGCGTTTTGCTCTTCTTTACAGCTGCAAGACTCTGATCACATTCGCATAGATCTTACTATTCTTGCTCTGTTGAATCACATCGTCCTTCGCAAGTCAGCTCAATGCAATCAATGAAGAAAACTGTGGAACAGGTACTACGAGCTCTGTGTGAACTAGGATATGCAATCCTACCCTGGGGTTGTACAGTATTTACACAGTCTTTATGCTAATTTACTTAATGGAGAATACAGCAAAAATAATACCAACAGTTTTACTTTAAGTGGAATACAAATGCAATATTAAAAACGTGAATTCTGTTTTTGTGGAAGAGTAAAGAAGTCAGAGACCAAGCGGACAGCTGACCTCTATTACTGTGATTTAAATCTTCATCGAACTGTAAGTTTTATGGGATAAGCAGCTCGTCTCTTCTACAAAGCTATTCTGCAAGCACTGGGCAAACAGTCGAACCATATACAGAAACAAACAACAACAAAATCTGAAACCTGGCTGAGTACTTTCAAGTAATTGCGCATAAAATACTCCCAAATAATAATAATAATAATCTCAGTATCCCTTCAGTTGTAATGCTGCTTGTATTTTGCTCTTCCAACACCCTACTGTGAAATTGCTACTCAGATAAATCTTCCCCGTTCCGACTGCATCCTCACCCCCCCAGTGGAAGCAATGCTTGCCATGAAGCTTCCTCACAGGAAGGGCATGTTTGGATGCACATTAACTGTGCTGGTAAGTGGTGCAGTAATACATGGACTGCAAGGATGGTCTTTCAGGGAGTGAGCAAAGGCTGAAGACTGAAGCCTCTGCTTTGCAAAATGATCCATTTTCAAAGTAATATTTCACTGATGAAACAGTCTGTTCTTACACCAAAATCTGCAAACCCTTGCCTCTCTACCAGTGATATTTTTTTTTCAAAGTTTTTTAAAATAGAGGAACTCTCCCAAGATAAATTCTCTAGACTAATTTTCATTAAAATACTAGACACACGACTCTTTTTTAGAAATGAATCTGCTAATGCCATGAATGGGCAATTTCTATTTAAAGTAAAACTTAATGTAAGCCACTTTAAAAAGAAAACGGCTTATCATGGCCATAATTCTAAAGTTAGTTCAGGAACTGAAGTTAATCTTTTGCAAAGGAATTCCAGCCTTCAGTTTAAAACAGGAAAACGAAAAGAATGAAAAACTGGAATCTACAGCTGCATTCTTTTGTTTCAGAGTATTTAAAATACTGTCTTTCTTTGATATAAAATGTTCAAAGTTATTGAACTTCTATTTTTGAACATCTAACTGTAACGCTAGAGTACTTGCAGTGAATAGACATAGAAAATGTGTTTTATTAACAGTGTCATTTGGTGACATCTCTTGGCTTATAAAGCAAGCTGAGGGCTTCAGTTTGTCTGACTCAAAATTAGAAGATATACAGTGATAAATCATTAGGATACAATCTTTCTTTCCAGACAGGAGTGAGACTGAAAAAAAAAAACAAACCACCCAACTAATCCTCCCTTTTAGGCAACCAATAATAAGCATTTTCCCAAGTATACAACCTTTTCAGGTTTCCTTTTTTATTTCAATTCTCAAAGCAGGAACAGACGAGCCACAGGGCTATGTTGTTCTCAACAAAGATACAATCAGAATGCTTCCATAAAAAAGGTTAACTTGTTTTCTTAACAGCCTCTCTCTTTCCTATACACGGGTTGACCTCTGACTTTTATAATGTCAATTCACCTCCTGGCAACTCCTTTTACCTGCCAACAACTCCAGCACTTCACTGGAAAAAAAAGCAAGTGAACTTGAAAAGATTGTCAGTTTGGGGAAAATATGTATTATTCTTCCCCGAAAGGAATATCACTGTAATTTTAAGAATGTCAAAGTGGAGGCTGAAAAATTGATCGGACATATCATCACGTAATTTACAGCTTATGAAACTCTGTCAATGAAGGACAAAAACATATCACAGACCTTAGTTCCCATTTTACAATAAATTTTTTATGTTAAATACTTTATGATTATTTACAACAAAAAGAAAGATGATGAAATAATGGTTTAAAACATAAATGACAATCTTGTAAAGAAGACCATACCTAGTGTAACCAAATATATGACCTAATATACAACTTTACATTGTAGAAGATGTCTCATTTACTGCTATGTGGCATCAAAAACACCACAGATCAGCTGAGACTATCTTCTAGGAAAAAATGAACAAAAGTTTTTTCCCTCCTGTTGATACTGTACAAATTCCTAGTAAAATCACTACCACTGCCTGCGTAAAATAAGCAAACTACAATCCTGTGCTTCACAGAATAACAAAATATTGCTGATCCAGGGCCTAATTCACCCAATCTGACCTGAGAACTACTTATGCCTGCTTTCAGCTGCAAAAGGGCTTTACAGGCTACGCTAGCAGCCTGTGTAACTAACAGGAGCGTGATGCTGCAATGGCCACATCCACACTTCTCTGAAAAGGATCTTGGACCCTGCACACCAGGCATCCCTATGAGACGTGGCTTACAGGGCATGAGGCCAACCTGCCAGCCGTTCTCTCCTGCTCCAAGGGCGTTCCTGTTGACATAAGTTTCGCAGCCACGGCACTGGGAGAGACGTATAAGCTGATCCTCCAGTTTCCCTGGCTACAATGAGAAAATGATACCCAGGTGCCATTTTGAAGGATTTCACCTTGGCGCTGGCCCAGCTGCAGGGGATGAGGTGTTGCTACCCACTTCCCTGCTTTCCCACCAAGCTGTGCAGAAGGATGGAAACTTGTTACCCTTCCATTTGCAGATGTGCAGTTTCACACCAAGACAAAATGGAATTATTACTTTTTGTCTTCCATATTGAGTTATGATGCTTTGTTTTGTTCTATCATACCACATTCTGTTTCATTCAAACAAGTTCTGACTAATGAGAATGATTACTCTTTCTGTGCCAGCTAACAGTTAGCACACTATGTTATGAAAGATTTATTCTCCTAAAACCACAGATCGGGAGATATAAAAGGAATCCTTTGTGGGCATCTCAGAAGACGAGATCTAGTAAATAACACTATTTGTTCAATAATCTTGCACCTCTGGGAAATGCTGTAAAATATAAATAAAGCTTCAAATATTTCTTTATTCCTTCTTCAAAAGGGAAGCAGCTGTGAATGGATTTATGTTTACTCTAACAAGCATTTTAGCCTCCCTTTCAGTTAAAAAGAGCTTATTTGATTTTATTATTTCCAGCCCTCTTTTAAAATAATTTCTTTCAGGGCATCTTGGCATTTTCTTTATCTCAGTGCAAGAAGGATTATCCTTTTCAGCTGTTCCTCATAAACAAACTACCATCTTGGTTGCACTTCAATGCACACTCCACACAGGATTTAATATCTTTCATGAGGGCACTGAAATGGAATGCAAACAATTTTTAAAATGATGGTTTGGGACTCAGTCTGGCCTCTGGGCACCAGCTCCTTTCTTGCTCCCACTCATTTTCAGCTCAGAGCCACAAAGGTGCTTTCCTGTACTCTGCCTTCTCACAGAGCCTTACAGGCTGCTGTATGACCTGCTCCGTTCAGCTTCTCCTCAGCAGTTCTGCACTCCTTCCCCAGAATTCTGTTTTGCTCTTCTTCCCAGTTCCTGATTTTATGCAGGATTCTGACTACTACGGCAGAGATATAGGGAAATGAGGACAAGCACTCAGGAGAAACAGCTTTTATCTTTTTGAATGCTCATTCTGTGCTGCCTATTTCCTTACTACAACAACATTTCCCAATTAGAGGCAACAGCTTCTAGGTCAACGAATTAGAGTTGAGACTGAGATTGAGTTGCTGCTATTAAATCGCACATATCAGGAAAAGATGAACCAGCATGATCTAATTTATGTATCAAGAACAGAGAAAACAATAGATGCTTGACAAACAATTTACACAAAGTGAAAAAAAATGCAACAAGTTACCCAGCTTCTAGTGATAGATGTTATTTTAGCAGGCTGGATATTTTTAAAAATATTGATCACTATAAAATCAACACTATTAGGATGCTGCACCTATTACAATTATACAATCAGGACATCTACCTAAGCTTCTATAGCCTTGATAACAGCTGTTTTCCTGACAAAACCAGAGGTGCTTGCCTCCCAAAGGAATGACATTACCCTTCATTCCCAAGCCTGAGACGCCTCTCTAACAGCTGCTGGCTTGTGCCATGTTTGCGTTCCCGGCTTCTTCCCCTTGGAGGCAAGGTGTCTCTAGTTTACGAAAGACAGGGATAAGAAGGACTGTTCAAGGACAGCGGGAGACACACCCTCCCCCCTCCCCCTTCTTACCCAGCTGCTTGGGAAGGTCTGGAAGGGTGAATTTTGAAGTTCATCTATGCTGGGACAGAAATTATTTCTGGTGAGCAAGACTAGCTGCTCAGATGGAAAACAGCAGAGCGGATATCTTTGTGCTGGGCAACCTGCAAATATTCCCACTCCCACATATCCTGATAAGCAAAATGTACCTTGCTTCATATTCAAACTCCACTTTACACAAACATTTCGGAGATAAACAGGGTGCACTTGCGCCTCACTGTTCTTCTTCTTCATACTCCTTTTCTGTTTATACCTCCTTAATGGTGTACCGCATCAGGAGGACTTTTTGATTTGGTTTCAGTTACAGTGATAACGCAAGGAAGAAAAGAAGTGGCAATGTCTACAGCAGAGTGAAACAAATTAAGCACAAAAGCCTCTACAACAGTAAAAAGCTCGTAGAACAGCAGTCCATTAAGCCAGTGACGTCCAAACTTTTTTGATCACACACACTTATCAGAAAAAATTTTTTGAGCCTGCAACCCCAATGTACATATATTTATATATATATTATATACTTCTAATTGAAGTTCCAATATTTGCTTCTCACACCTCTTTGGCAAGCATCAGGGAAGTGGAGGGAGGAAGC